ACACTTTCAGTTTCTCACACTAGAGAAACTATTCAGTATTTACACATGTGTGTCCTGTTTATTTCACTTAAGAGTATGGCCTCAGTGTGCATCCACTTAGCTGTAAATGTCTCTAGTTTCTCATTCTTTATGGCAGAGTACTCCATTTTATTAAAAAAAAAAAACACATCTTCTTTATCCAGTTTCCAGTTGATGGGCAATTGGGATGTTTCTAAGTTTTAGCTATTACAAACTGTGCCACTATAAAAAATAGGGAGGGCCAGAGGGGTTGAAGGGAAGGCAGGGGAATGGGGAAAAAATAAGAACCAAGCTAAGAGTATGTAAAGGTGTAAATTCCCAATGATGAATGTCATTATATTGTATACCTAAAATGTACCAATAAAATTAATAATAAAAAGGTACTAATAGGTAAAAATGATGAAAAAAAAGAACTGTGCTGCTCTGAACATGGGTGCACATATATCCCTGTGGTGTGATGCTTTTAGTTCTTTTGGGAAGATTCAAGTTGATTTAAAAAAAAAATCATTGGCTGCGGGTTTAGCTCAGTGGTTTCACCGCCTGCTGCGCAAGTGAAAGGACCTGAGTTTGATCCCTGGTACTAAAAAAAATTTTTAAATTAAAAAAATATCATTTTTGTTTTTTTCATGATTACAAGAGTAAATGCGCATTTGTTATAGAAACTCTGGAAAACATGAAAAAGCTCAAAATTATGATGAAATGATGTATAATCCTATTTATCCAGCCAAAGAAAGATTAATATGTTAATGTATATAAGCTTGCAGATATTTTCCTCACTAGCAATGCATGCACATGTACTAATACATAGATTATATATTTAGAATATAGTCTCATACTATACATCTTGCTTTGTAACATACCTTTTCAATTTAACAATATATGAGAAAATTTTACTCACGATAATATCCTTTAATAACATTTTAATGACTGCATAATATTCCACATCACTGATGTATTAAAATTTGCTTAACTAATCTATTATTACATATTTAGCTTGTTTACAATTATATGACAGTATAAAACATGTTGAGAGGAATATCCACACATACATCTTTGTGTACTTTTCTTATTCTTTTTCTTTTTTTTTTTTTGGTACCGAGGATCGAACTCGGGTCCTTGCACTTGCGAGGCAGGCGATGGAACCACTGGGCTAAGTCCCCGGCTCTTATTCTTTTCCTTATACTTTCCTAGAAGTAAAATTTAGTTCTTCTGCTTATGAAATCTGCACACTTTGGTTATTTTTATCATTTATTCTATTGTATTTTCTAAAAGTGGAATTGAAATTTCATATATTCCTACAAGCTATGTATGAGAGTATCAATTTCTCTACATTCTTTACAATACTGAATATTTTAAATATTAGTTAATAACCAAGAAAAATAGTATTACATTGCTGAATTATTTTGCAATTTCTTTTTACTTATAGGGTTGGATGATTATATGTCTATAGCTCATTTATATTGTTTCATTTGTGAAGCCTATTAACCTTTTTGGCCCATTTTTATTGATATATTTACTGTATCCTTAGTATTTTCAAAGAGCTCTTGATATGAGAATATTAATCCTTTAATAGTAATGTATATTTAAAATAGTTTTGCAGTTTATTATTTATCTTTGAATTTTGTTTATAGTATTTTTGTCATATGGACTTATAAATTGTGTGTCATCAAATTAGTTCATCTTTTTCTTATTAGTTCTGACCATTAGCATTATATTACAAAGGCCTTGCCACGAGATTATATAAACATTTATTTTTATTCTTATTAGTACATGTTTGTAGTACATAATGATTACATTCCTTGTGTGGCGCTAATACATGTACATAACACATTTTAATTACTTTTTCATCCTCTTCCCCTCCCCTCCCTTCCCCTTCCTTACCCTCCTTCCATCTCTTGGTCCCCTTCCCCTTTTCCTTTCCCTGTTTCCTGTTAAAATGATCTCTTACATTTGTTCTTGGTCATTCATAGCAGTTTTCTTTTTGTTTGTTTGAGACTGGGGTCCATTGTGTAGCCCAGGCTGGCCTTGAACTCCCGATACTTTTGCCTCAGCTTCCTGATTATTGGGATTACAGACATGTGCCTCCACGCCGGGCCATAATTTCAGTTTTTTATATTAAGCTCTTTGATCCATCTGGAATTCACTTTGGTATATAGTGTGAAATAACTAATTCCCCTCCTCTTCCCAATATTAGTGGTTAAATGTTTGTCCCAGCACCCGTTATTGAGAAACATCCTTTTTGCAAATGATTTGAAATCTCTGAGGCTTTCTTGAGTGCATACATGCTGGATCCCATGGATATGTGTCCCTACTACTATGAAGTAATCAGTAAGAATTGACTTTGTGTAGGAGAGACTTCTGAAGCTACCTAAAGAAATCCAAGAAAGAGCAATGAACCAACCAGTAACTATACTTTCTTTCATTACAGAGAAGAGGTGAAGAGTCCAGTGAAATGGAGCAGATTTCAATCATTGAGAGATTCCCTTACCCCTTCCAGGTGGGTTATTTTCCTCATCAACTCTGGAAAGAACCCTGAAATGTAGTCATTGTGGATGGGATACATGGCAGAAGTAAAGATACTAGGTCCTAGTGAACAGAAGCTGAAGTGGGAAAAGGAAGCTGTGTTTCTGAACCATTTTGCCTACTGAATAGTATGCCAAGCCTGAAACAACGGATTTTGTAAAAGAAAAAAGCTTTATTCCCAAACATGGTAGCCAACCATGGAGGCAAACATGGAGGGAGAAAATGGGTATATTTATGGAGTAAAGAAATAGGGTTCACCCTGTTAATGGATCCAGACAGATGATTACAGGTGAAGTAATCAGTGGTCTGTGCATCTGTAGTCATAATCCATCTTCATGGGTCTTCATGTGTGTTTAGAAAATGGTGACATTAGCATAATCTAAGAGTGAAATTTTCGGCCTCCTGATGTCAAAAGAGAGTAGGCCTAAGTGAAAGAAAATGGTTTTCAATTCTTTAAAAAATAACCTAGGCAACCATTATTATCATAGATTATTATCTGCCCCACAGACAGAGGTGTTATCTACAGCAAAGCTAGTGTGAGACTAATAGTCAGCTTTGGGACCCCCAGAATTAGTGATATTTTTTGTTATAAAACTAAATTTTTTAAGTCAAATTTTTATTTTTTAGTTTTGACTTTTTTATTTAATTGGTATATGTTTGTGATCATAATTATATTTGCTTAGGGAAATAGGTATATATGTCATATCTCGATCATTTTTATACCTTATCCTCCCTTTCCCCAGAGCTAGCGATTTTTTTTTTCTTTTTTGGTACTGGGGATCAAACTCCGGTCCTTGCGTTTGCAAGTCAGGCAGAGGAACCACTGAGCTAAATCCCCAGCCCAAACTAGCGATTTTTAAAGTCAACTAAAAGCAAGTAATTAAGGGGGAGCATGGAGGCTCAGAGCCAGAGAAGAAAAAAGTAAAAAGTGTTAGTTTGTGTAAATCAGACTAGGTCAGCTGTTTTTGTTGACTGGTAATTATCAAAGTTGGGAATCTGTCCTCCCAAGGAGTATTGGACACAGAGGTATTATTCTTTTGATGGTTACATTCCTGAGAATGTCTCTGAGGGTCCTTGAGAGTTGCTTTCCTGAGCTGCAAAAGATACATATGTATAATTGTAAGTGCTTCTTTTGGTAAACAACCCAGCAAATGGTTGTGGTCTATCCTAGCAAGGGTTCCATTTTAGCTGAACCAATAAATATGACTGGTAGGGCTGAGCCTGTTTTTCTGTTTTTCCAACCTAACATAGTTTCTTTCCCTTTCTGTACCTCAAAAATAATACACAGCAGCACCAATTTTATTATGGTGTTTCTGTTTATGATAACTGCATTGAGAAAGATGCTCTGCTTGTTGAGTGAGCATTTCACTTTCTTTTTCATTCTGCCTATCAGACTAATGGTGGTCATGTGTGTTGAAAGGACAGAAAAAGGGAGGGAAGAAGTACTATTAGGAAGCTCAACATGGGGGAGGCTTTTTTAGGCTTATGCATAAACCTAAATTCTATTCTAGTCTGAAATAGCTAAACACCCAGCCACATAGCATCTATTAAGTAGACGTAATGTAAATCATGAAGGAGAGCAAGATTTGCTCTTCACTTTGCCTTGCTAATGTCCTGAGAACTCTGTAGGGCACATGCTGTGAATATAGCCGCTTCTGCAAGAGTGAAAGCCAGCAAAGGAAGTGGAAAGTCTCAGGGGAGGAGGCTTTCTGTCATGGATTTATGAGCACAGCAAGACTAACAAGCAACAAGAAAAATGTAAAAGTATCTTATTCATGTTCCTATTACAAAACCTGTGAAGGAAGGGTGTCTCTGATGTAGATTTTACTATCATTGTCTTTGAACAAGATGATAGTGTTAAACTGTGCTAGTGGATAATGCTAAACAGTAGATAATTCATAATTTGATTTATTTTTGACTTTGGAATCCATTATGTGATATCTAATAACTCTCTAAAGGTTAAGACCAAACCATACATCTCCTTAACACCTACATGATGTCTCTAAGATGGTAAATGTTAAAAAAACCCTGAATGACTTTATGTTTATGCTTAATATATACTTTTTCCTTCTGAAGTAAGTTTGTGGTCCAAATTTGGTTTATTTTGATTTGTGCTGCTGATAGGAGGCTACTAGGTAGGAGGGTTAGCCATGAATTAAAACTTTGTTCCATATTACCCAAGTGAATAACTCTTATGTATTTATCAAGACTTAAGTTATATAGATCACTGCTTCAATTATCTTCTGTTTCATAAACTCAAAATTCAATTTTCTTCAGTATTTATTTTTGGTTCCAGGGATCGAACTCGGGACCTTCTGCTTGCGAGGCAGGCGGTGGAACCACTGAGCTAAATCCCCAGCCCGTTTTCTTCAGTATTTAAACCCAGTTTAATAATAACATCATAAAATATGATCTACTTTTGTTGGAAAAATAAAAGCCCTACCTCTACCAAAAGCTAAGGGAAACATTACAGACTAAATATACACACAAACTGAAACACCAAATTAAGAGGATCTAAGAGTATTCAAAGGGGCCAGAGATTTAGCTCAGTGGCACAGCGCCTGCCTCGGCAAGCACAAGGTCCTGAGTTTCATCCCTGGTACCTAAAAAAAAAAAAAAAAAAGAATATTGAAAGAATGAACCACTTCTAAGTCTTACATCCCTGAATATAAATAGTTCAGAAATACTTCGGGTAGATCACATGACCCCTGCACAAATGCTGACTGAAGACCTTGCCTTTGTTTTCTACAATAGTATACAAAGTTGTACCTTTAGATTCATTGCTTTAGAGTCTTTCTTATTTTTTTTTCTTAATCCTAACTCCTGAAGTCTGTGTGTCCATTGCTCCAGGTTGTATATGATGAAGGGCCTCTCTATGTTTTCTCCCCAACTGAAGAACTGAGAAAGCGTTGGATTCACCAGCTCAAAAATGGTGAGAATTATTTGGAAAGTGAACTAGTTTTTAAAGGAACAAAGGGAGAAAGGGAGAGAAAGAGATTGAGAGAGAAGAAAGGAGAGAGAAGAGAGAAAGGAAAGAGGGAAAGGAGAAGGGGAAAGAAAGAATAAAGCTAGAAAAGAAGAAAGAATGAGTGGAAAGAGAGAAAAGAGAGGGAGGAGAGAGAGAAAAGAAGAAAGGAGGGTGCGAGGGAACATGACAGAGAAAGAAGTATTGTATTTTGCCTCAATATTAATGATACAGTTTAGTATTTTATCATATGAATAAAAGATAACACATTAGATTAAGAATTTCAACCCAGTTCCACCACTATCTAGTGCAGTTTTGTAATCGTGGGCCCCTGATTCATTACTTAGAAAAAACAAGTCTCATTCTTTACACCAATTATAAAGGTCAGGTGTGTTGTTCGATGATTATGCAGTATTTAGAGTCCTAAGTGTGAAGTAACTAGATCCAAAAAATTAAATAGATGATATAGGAAAGTATTTGAGGCCAAAGAACCTTCCTTATATCACTTACAAGCTGAGCGACTTCTTGCAAGTAGGCCAATGAGTTTATTTGAAAGTCAGCTCTTTCTGAATGGGAATAATGATAATGCCTGGTGAACATACCTCCACAGTGTCCTAAAAATCAAATGAGAAGCTAAGGGTATAGCTCAGTGGGAGAACACTTGCCTAGTATGTATGAGGTCCTGGGTTCAATCCCTAGCACCAAAAAAAAAAAAAAAGGATCAAATGAATCAATAAGGTATGTGAAAGTACATGAAAAACTATAAAGCACCATATAAGAAAACGTACATTTCTTCATTGTGGATATATATTTTCTAAGGAACTATTTTATGTTCCTTGCTTTGTGAGGATTTAAACTTGAACATTGTTTCAGCATTTCACATGGACCATACAGTATTTTAAGATAAACTGGATTATAAATGCTTGCAGGAGAGAGAAAGAGAAAGAGAGAGAAATTAACTAGTTGAGTTGACATCAGGAAAGGCGGCCTAGAGAAACAGGAAGGAGGGAAGCCTGATAATAGCATGGTTGGGTTATTGCATGACAGCCCTTTGTCTTTTTTTTTTTTTTACACAGCCCTTTGTCTTAATAAACATTTAGATTCTGATACTCAGTGGTTGGCTGGCTACCAGCCGTGTTCACTCCCTTGAAAGCAAGCATTATTGGTGGAAATTATAAGTCTAGCTGTCTTAGTTACTTTTTTCATTGCTAAGACAAACTACTCAACACCCACTGTTTAAGGGGAAAAGGTTTATTTAGCTCATAGTTTGTAGAGGTTTCATTCCATAATCAGCTGGCTCCAAGGCAGGGTGGCATGGCAGACAGGCATTGCAGAGGAGAAACAGTTCATGGCTAGCAGAAGGTAGCAGAACAAGCAGGGGACTACTACAGCTCTTTCTATTCCTTATATCTTATCCAGGCTACCGGCCTTTAGGGCGAGTAGCATTCACACCCTTAATCCTAATGCCCTTGATCCTACCATTACACCATGAATCAGTCCCAGAGTCACACACTCTAGATTGAGCCACCTCTGAAAAAGCTCCACCTATGAACACACGAGGCTCTGGGGGGACATCTAGACAAAAGTCATATCACTATCAAACTGAAAGAGGAAAGGAGAAAGGAAGAAGAAAATTTATTGAATTCTTGCTATGTGCCAGACCCTGAGCTAAATGTCTTATATTTATTAACTCATGTAGTTTTTACAACTTAGGCTAAAACAGAAATAATAACTAACACTTAGTGCGCACTTATTATGTACCAGATTCTGTGTCAAGTGATTCAAATGTATTGATTCATTTAATCATCACAATAATTTTATGAAGTATGTATCACTCCCCTATTTATAGATGAAGGAATTGAGACTCAAAGAGGTCACCTAACTTGCTCCTGGGCACATTGCTAATGAGTAGTGGATCCTGAATTCTTACCACATCTCTGGGTGTGATGAGCCTAAGCTCATTACATAGTTTTATTCTGATTGCTTTCCAAGCCCATAAATTTCACTTGTAGTTGTCTGCAAAATATTTTATAGTAAAATTATATGGAGTACTACAAATAAATATTGTCCTGCATGACACATTTCATTCAGTTCTTGGCATACATTGAGTTAATGGGCCTGCTTTAACTCTGAAGGTAAAAAATGAGCAAACTCTTCAATAGTGCTTATTATGATCTGGGATCTTCTCTAAGTTCTTCATATTAACCACACACATATTAACTCATCCATTCTTCATATTAACCACACAAAGCAGTTATTTTCATCACCCTCAGGTTACAGATAAGAAAACTGGGTTACAAAGAGGTTAAGTAACTTGCCCAGAGAGACTCAGTTAGTAAATAACTGGGTCGAGCTTTGAACTTAGGCTCCAGACTTTGTACTCTGAACCAGTATGCTATTTCTAAGCCAGAGAAATATTGCCAGAGGTGGAGAAAGGAGCTCCAGAGGGCATATTTATTTGTACTTCTTTGATTCCCTTCACAGTACTTTATACAGTGCCTTGCACACAGAAATGGATCAATAGTTGTGTTAATTGATTTTTTTCTGAGGGAGTAAACAACCACGACCAACTTGGGTACCACATTGATAGATGGATAGAAATGAGTCTGGAAATAGGAGAAAGTGAAGCAGACAAACTAAGAAAGAAGCAAAGGAAAAAGACTGTGGCATGTTAAAGTTAGTATCTCCTTTACACATCAAATACTAATTTTAAAACCAGTCAAGTTTAGCCCAACAAATATTTTTGAGTGCCCACTATATTGAAGGTATGAGTAATAACCAAGAATACGGAGATACAGGTTGTAAGCTTGGTTTATTAACTCAGTTGTTAACTTTACCATGTTGATTATGCACTGGTATTAATGTTCATTAGCTAAGTAAAATTACTATGGACTAAAAATAAAGCTGAAACAGAAACCCTATCACTTCAGCTGGGCCCTTATGTAGGGAGGTAGTGTGGCTAAGTGAAGTTTTGCCTTCTCTTCCCTTCTGTTTTACTGAAAGCATTTTTTCCAGTAGTTCCATCCTGGTGTATTCCTTGTCAAATCTGCCTGGACTGAGCACAGGAATCAAAAAGTAGCCACCTACTAACAAGTACCATAGGAGACTTAGATGAAAGCCCTAACAGTCTCAGGATAGCCCCAGTGCTAACAATGCTAAAAGTGAGCTACCCTAGGAGCCAATCAAATCCCACTGTAGTGATTCTTATCTCTCTTGGTAAAATGCAACTAATACAAATAAATAATATGAAAAGGTGACTTCATCAGAATACAAATTACATCTGCAGGCATATTGACCATGAAGGGGCATGAGGAAGCTTTCAGAGGTGCCAGATCTGAGTGAGGGTTAAACAAATGTGTACAAATGTAGCTGATTATATATTTTAGATGTTTGTTACATATAAATCATTTTAAAAGTAGTGCCTCAGGTATCCCATATCCAGCTGCCATATTTTCTCAATGGCACTTTCCATGCAAAGGTTGTATCCCTATTTAGCCACAGACTGTCCTTCTATTTCCCTGAACATGGCAATGAGCACTTCTATGTTACAGCACCACAAACAACCCAGCCCCTTATTCCTGATAAGCATGTACTCTACCACTTAGCTACACCTCAGCCCTACATTCATTCTGAATCTTTGTTTGGGAATGCTCAATAGAGTCTATCCTAATTGCAACATCAAAAATAAGCAAAGATTAGGGCCGGGGATTTAGCTCAGTGGTTCCACCGCCTGCCTGGAAAGCGCAAGGTCCTGAGTTCAATCCCCGGTACCAAAAGAAAAAAAAACAACTAAAAATAAGCAAAGATCTGACCACACCAAAATGAATGGAAGAATAGCATTGGCAAAACTCCAATAACCAGTATGGAGAGGAATGATCAATGCATGCTTCAAACAGAATTTTAGACATTATCCTGATAAACATGGATACCAAAGACCAGCACAACAAATACTTGGAGAATGTGTACTAACCATAACTGCTTCCCAAATAATGCACTTGTGCATTGGTGAAGCAGTCTTTCCTTGGCTGTCCCACTTGGACACTCTGCTTTTGTAATCCTCTTTTAAGTAGCTGGAAATACCAGCTCTAATTTAATCAACAAAATAAGGGCCATCTTCAGTGGACCTCTTAAGATGCAGACACTATTTGTGAATGTAGGGAGAGTTCTTAATGAGTGTGTTGGGGGTGGGGAAGGTAAGAAGCTTTATTTCCTCCTCATTTGCATATTACCATAGCTTAGTTCACTGGAGTGACTAGTTGTTGATTAACAATTCTTAGCATATTTACTGGTGCCCTGCCCTGTAGGCAGCACAGAGAACCTAAGGGTCTTCAAATCACTGGGTAAAGGGGAATGGCATGGAGGTAGAGGCAAGAAAGTGGAGGTGGTGGGAGCAATCAGTCCTGGTAGGATCTATCAGTACTATTATTCAGAATTACTCCTGCTTAGTAATAATTAAAAGTAAACAGACTTTTGGCCAGTTTTATCACTGTTTTAAAATCTCTATAAGTAATGCAGCCGTTTATGGTCCGCACTCTATCTGAATAGCTCCTACCACCCTGCCCAGGGTAATGAAGAGAAATTCTGAAAAAGTGGGGGTTGGCAGGGGAGAGTGGTTAGAGGTTTTCAAATCCATGTTGAAAAAAGCATCGGGATGGCACTTTAGAAAAAAAAGATTTTGTTTTTCGTTTTTGTTCATTTGTCAATAAAATGCACCAGTCCGCCAGAACTGCTAGACTTCCCCCAAAGCCTTAAATGAGTGGAGTATAACTAGCAAACCTTTAAGCATTTGAGTTGTTTTCTACAACAGAAGATTTTGTTTTGTTTCTGCTGTTGTCTTTTTTCAAATTTATGTGGGATGCTTCTTAGCAGTAAATGTTGAAATGGATAAGCCTTCAAATGTGCATGCCCGAGTCTTTGCCATAAAACTTGCTATTGTCAGTTGTTTCACTTGTCTTTGCTTCTCTCGGTTATCTCACATCATGATCCCTGAATTTTTTTTTAATTTAACGTCTTGAGATGCCACAGTATTGTAAACCTCCTATCACAGTATTAATCCTCCTATCACAGTATTAATCCTAATCACAGTATTAATTCCTCCTATCTATGAATGACTCTTTGCAAAATACTTTAGCTTCTTGGAGGTCTTTCAAGACTCACATCCTTGTGAAAGAAGTGGAGCTGCTGTGTTTATATCTGGCAATGAACTCAGCCTAGCTCAGTGGTCCTAGGAAAATTGGAACGATGCTTATACTAGAGACAAACTCACCTTCATTTGCCCTTGAACTCAGCTCTGTTGATGATTCTAGGAACACAGGAAGCCTAATGCTGTAATTTCTCACTAAGGCAAATATCCCTGAAAGGTACGGTGAGAATTTGGCTTAAGCACATTGTTTTCCTATCTGAAAAACAAATAGCATAAACAATACCTGCTTGACAAGAAGATTTGTAAAGCCTACTGGGAAAACATAGATAATATTTCTGTTATTGGGCTCTGGAACTATCAGATACTCTTTTATCATGTTGATTGGAGAGAGTCATCATGACAGACACTGAAGACAACTGTTTGGAGCCAGGGCACACAGGCATGCAGAACAGTCATGTGAACCAACTGGTTCATGATCTGCTTTCCTTTAGAGTGGCTGAGTGTTTGAGGCTTACCAGTAAGCTCAAAGAGGAAAACACAGAAATGGATTCTTCTGCATGTCAGATGTGATCTCTCTTTTTTCTCTCCTGTTAAACAGTAATCCGGTACAACAGTGACCTGGTACAGAAATACCACCCTTGCTTCTGGATTGATGGGCAGTATCTCTGCTGCTCTCAAACAGCCAAAAATGCTTTGGGGTGCCAAATTTTGGAGAACAGGAATGGAAGTAAGAGAGTCAATCAGTATAATTTCTCCTTCTGTTTTGTTTTGTTTGTTTTTTGTGTGTGGGTGTGTGGGGGGTTCTAAAGATTAAACCCAGGTTCTTGCATATGCTACAAATGCACTCTGTCACTAAGCTACATCCCCAGCCTAATTTCTTCCTCCTTTGAGTCTATTTCCATCACATTCCAAACAGTCTGTCAAACCCAGTGACACAACATAAGTGACTATTTTGGCCACTGCACAAGCAAGCCTGGAGGAGGGGATTAGTGGGGGCTGAAATCCAGTTGGCAATCTGCTTTCTACACTATGTGGCTTGGCATTCAGACACCTTTTATAACTTGCCAAAAGGCACTGTGTCCCTGACCAAAGCTGCTCCTATGCACTTTCCTAAATGTATTCCACGTCATCACTGGTTTCTTATTTTGCAGGCTTAAAACCTGGGAGTTCTCACAGGAAGACAAAAAAACCTCTTCCCCCTACACCAGAGGAGGACCAGGTACCTGTATAAAGGGAAATTGCATACTGCTGCTACTTAAGTGGAATTTTACAGTTAAACTTTGAAAACACACCAGAGTCTTAGAATGCCCTGGAATTTAGAAGTGTTAACTGCTGTTCTTGTTGAGTCAGGGGATTTGTCCTTCTACTTAGGATTTCTTTTTCATGAAAAGAAAGCTCTTGGAAACCATTTAATCCAATCACCTGTTTGAAACATTTTTATTTATTTATTTATTTTTTGTATTTTGAGACAGGGTCTCACTATGTAGCCCAGGCTGGCCTTGAACTTGCACGATCCTCCTGCCTCAGCCTCCTGAGTGCTGGGATTACAGGTGTGCACCCCCACGCCCAGCTGAAACATTTTTAATGAAAATGGTTTTTAAATTTTTAATGAGAAATATTTTCAAACATACAGTAAAATTGAAAAAATTTATTTTTTTTTCAGTACCGAAAATCAAATCAGGACCTTGCGCTTCCCAGGCAAGCGCGGTGCCACTGAACTAAATCCCCAGCCCAAGCTGAAAGAATCTAGCACCAAACTTCCATATCCCTGACTCCTAAATTCCACAAATAGCATTCATTTTACTTTAAAACTTGATTTTTTGGGTACCTTTTTGAGATCCAGAAAGCCCTTTCTCATATATTGTAAAAGTAGGACAGATATTAGGACAATCATTTTATAAAGAAGGAAACTGAGGTTCAGAGCCATTTACTAGTTCTGTGTACTAGTTAGAACTAAGCAGCTTTCCTGGCCTTGGCTGTATATGGTTTTTGCCTGGGAAGCTTTAACAATACTGATGCCTGTGTCTCACTCTCAAAAATTTTGACATAGTTGGTCTGCAGGAAACTACCTGAACACTGAGACTGCTAAATACTCTCTAGGTGATCTTCATGTGCGCCCCAGGTTGAGAATCCTGTCACAGATACTTGAAAATGGTTGTTGAATGAATGTAGAGTAAAGCTTTTATTATGGCTGATTTGGGTTAGAATGCTGTCTCTAGTAAACTAGAGTTGGGAAGAGAGTGCTTGATGACTAGTCAACCCTCCCCCCTACTTTTTCTGCTAACTATATAGATCTTGAAAAAGCCACTGCCCCCTGAGCCAACAGCAGCACCAGTCTCTGCAAGTGAGCTGAAAAAGGTTGTAGCCCTTTATGATTACATGCCAATGAATGCAAATGACCTACAGCTGCGGAAGGGTGATGAGTATTTCATCCTAGAGGAGAGCAACCTACCATGGTGGAGAGCACGGGATAAAAATGGGTGAGTCTATGCCAGCCCTTTCTGAACTTGTGCCTGCCTACTCTACACCTGTGCAAACTGCTACAACAAAACTCTCTTGCTCAGAATCCTAATCAGAGATTGTTCTTCCCATGGCAAAGTGAATATATTCTCCCTGCAAATATTTCCCAGTGTGCAGCTCTACATGTGGCCTCTGTCATCTCAGAATCTCTGTTGTCATTTGTCATCTACATGTAACCAATGCCTCATGTTCAGAAACCCTTCGGTAACCTAATCAGACGTGTTTCTCTTTGAGGGTGGATGTATTTGAGATTGATTCTGAGGTCATGGATGTGAACATATGAATCTGCCTCCCTGAAATGGGAAAATGCTATATGATCTATCTCACATTGTCTCCTCTACAGGCAGGAAGGCTACATTCCTAGTAACTATGTTACTGAAGCAGAAGACTCCATAGAAATGTATGAGTGAGTATGCTTGTTCCCAACACACAATCTTCCAGGAGGAACAAATATAGTATATACTATTTTATACTTTCAACAAACTTTTTATTTCAAAATACATATTAAAGTTATTGTTAACTGGGTCAAATGATGCCACCACCTCAAGTTAAGACCTATGTCTTACTTTGACATTGGGGTGACCCCAAACACCCTCTGCTTGTGAGTGCTGGAGAGGTTTCCCTGCTTCCAAATCCAGAAAAATCACACTCAAAGTGAAAACCTGATGGGATACATTTGAAAGTATAAAAATTGCAAACTTGTACCCATGTCCTCTCCCTAATCATGAATGTGGATTGTCCTAAAGGGACCCAGGGCCTGATCTCTTTCCTGCAAACTCTGAAGTCTGCCTTTGCCCTCAACTTTCCATTTCTGTGAATCTTCACTCTGAGCTTGGGAAAGGATGCGGTGTGCTATTTGGATAGTAAACCCTCTAGAAATAAGATGCGGGTGATTTGACTGAATCACAGGCATGGATAAACCCTGGAAGGTGTCCTAACCTTCCACCTATACTTATGGTCTAGAAGTCATACAAGCACTCTCTTCATAGGTGGTATTCCAAACACATGACTCGAAGTCAAGCTGAGCAACTACTAAAGCAAGAGGTGAGTGTGGGGCCACATGCAAGTAGCATTCTTTGTGCTGAACTGAAGACCTGCTTTTTCACCACCTTCAGGCAAGGCAGTGTCAAGGACTTCTTCATCTGGAGTCCCAATTACACTTTTCAGTATTAAAAGCAAGAAAGCCACAGCTCAAGCATGGAACTTGGCAGTAAAATGAAGGGCTGTTTATTTTCCCTCCAGTGTGGGCAGGTGGGATGCAGATGAGGGCATCACTTCCTCCTACAGTCAGGTTCTTTTTCATTGTTTCAGGGTAAAGAAGGAGGTTTCATTGTCAGAGACTCCAGCAAAGCTGGAAAATATACTGTTTCTGTGTTTGCTAAATCTACCGGGTGAGTGCTGCTGTTCCTAGGCCCTGGAGACAAAGGACAGGAGTTCCCTCCTAACAGCTCCTGAATGATGTGTCCCTCCCAATTCTTCTATCCCTCAGATTTTTTTTTTTCTGTACTGGGGATTGAACCCAGGGTTTTTGCCCTGAGCTACATCCCCAGCCCCTTTTCATTTTCTATTTTGAGACAGGGTCTCACTAAGATACTAAGTTGCCCAGGCTGGGCTCAAACTTCAGATTCTCCTGCCTCAGCCTCCCACAGTTCTGAGATTATAGGTGTACATCACCACACCTAGCTCCCTCTATCCCTTAAACTCAAAATTCATCTCACTTCACTTTTTGGTTCATACTGATTCTTGTTCCCAAGTTACTGACGAAGCATCCACTTTTTCAGGGATCCTCAAGGGGTGATTCGCCATTATGTTGTGTGTTCAACACCTCAGAGCCAGTATTACCTGGCTGAGAAACACCTTTTCAGCACCATTCCTGAGCTCATTAATTATCATCAGCATAACTCTGCAGGTGAGTACCAGGGACAATTGATAAAAAATGTTGGAAACAACAAGAGAATTAATTCAAGACAAAGTGGTGAAGGGAAGAATGTGCCACATCAGACAGTGTGAATTAGCTGTAAAAGTGACCTCCTGTGATGGTGGCTAAGAGTTTAGTTAAGATGTCGTTAGACCTTACACCCAAGAAGGACTGACTAGCTTATTATTATTTGGTTATTAATGCGCAGTGCTAAAACATGGAAGAGGCTAGTAACTAATCAACAAATATTCATTAGCAATTATTCATTTTCCTACTGTGTACTCAGGAGTTTCCTTGGATCTCAGAGAAGACACAGGAAAATTCTTTTTTTTTTCTGAGAGACACAGGAAAATTCTAAGTTGAGGTCCCTGCCCTCAAAGAATATACAGGTTAGACAACATCAGAAGACAGTTTCTAAGTAGTGTAGAAATTCTAAAAGCCGAGGGATTGATGAGACCATGAATACAAGGGAAACATTTTCATTGAGAGGTAGGATGTGAACTAAGCATGGGCTGAGAAGTGGGAATATATTTCAGTAGGGGGTATATTTCATTTAGTGTTTTCTCCATTGTCTCTGAAAACTCTTGTGAGAGGACAAACTTCCAGAAAAATGTGGATTCATGTACTAGAAAGCTGCATACTGAAAGAATGAGGCTTTAAGTGTGAATATGAGGCACCCCATCCACTATGCTGCACCAACACCATGATCTCTTTCTATATTTCAGGACTCATATCCAGGTTGAAATATCCAGTGTCTCAACAAAACAAGAATGCACCTTCCACTGCAGGCTTGGGCTATGGTAACTGCTTATTTCTCTGGGGTAGGGAAGACTGGCCAACTGCAAGGACTTCCTTTGCAGACCTTGCCTTAAGGAATGGCCTTTGAGGTATATGTTCTGTACCAACTGCCTCAAGGAAAGTCAAGACAGAGCCAACCAGAAGTTATTTAATGATTTTATCCCTCCAGTGACTCCCAGTGGGACTGTAAAACATAGATTCACAGAGCTTTGTTGCTTGGGTCTTTTTGTTGTTTATTTTTAACTGTGGTAAAAATTTTTAGCATTAACCTTGAATTTAGCTGTAGTCATTACATAATCATAAAGGGATTTTAGGAGGTTGTTTAGTCTATGTTCTTGCCTATGACCAACTTGAACCTAAAGTTTCCAGATTCCTCCAACCAGTAACTCCTGTCCCTGAGATTTACCCGAGTAAAGATGGATTTGTACCCTGAGGATTTCCCCTTTACAGATTTTCCTATTTCTACCCTAGAGGGATTCTTACCTATCAAAGGTATTATATATACATGTCACCCTAAAGAATGACACCAAGACTTTGTTGTTAGGATCATGGGAAATCGATCCAAAGGACCTGACCTTCTTGAAGGAACTTGGGACTGGACAATTCGGGGTAGTGAAATATGGTAAATGGAGAGGCCAGTATGATGTGGCCATCAAGATGATCAGAGAAGGCTCCATGTCTGAGGATGAGTTCATTGAAGAAGCCAAAGTCATGATGTGAGTTACAATTTAAATCCAACACAGTCCAGTTACTGGTATCTAGGAATTACTAGGACAACCCACTGTGGCCTAAGGTGACTTAATAAGAGAAATTTGGGATCGGAGCCTGATGTTGACCTTTAATTGGTGAGAGTTCTAACTGCTAAGGTAATTATTTCACTCCCTTAGATACTGGTGGAGAATAGTGTTGATCATGGGTGTATACCATCTCAGTAGCATTTGGGGGTAGATGTAAAAAAAATGTGACTTCCAAAAGAAAGGATGATTCTAATTTTGCCTTAGTATTCTTTCAGTCCTAGACTTGTTTCAGTTAATAGGCTCCAAAGCCCTGTTCACCCCCACATACTAGGTACTTTGGGGGTTTGTGGTGGAAAGGAAAAAATAAACTTAATATTATGATACTTTATCTGATGTGCATCCTAGGTCAGTCCCTTTCCTCCTCAACCCCTTTATGATTAGTGTGCAGAGCCAAGGGGGAGGACTAGTTCCTTGCCTCTCCTATAGGAATCTTTCCCATGAGAAGCTGGTGCAGTTGTATGGTGTCTGCACCAAACAGCGTCCCATCTTCATCATCACTGAGTACATGGCCAATGGCTGCCTCTTGAACTACCTGAGGGAGATGCGCCACCGCTTCCAGACTCAGCAGCTGCTGGAGATGTGCAAGGATGTCTGCGAGGCCATGGAATACCTGGAGTCAAAGCAGTTCCTTCACCGAGACCTGGTGGGACCTCAGAAGGATTGGCCTGTGATTGAGGGCTGAGGGGGTGGAAGTACCAGTGGAAGATATACATTGTTCAGAGGGTTGCTGATGCCAGAATTTCAATTTTGTCTAGAAAACACTAACAGGTTTGCCTCTGCCTCACTGTGAGCCAGTCAGGTATTTCCAGCCTCAACTCCATGAGGTCAGCTATGGTGGGAACTAAGAGTAGCCACCCAGACTCAGCTCCCTATCACCCAGAAGGAAACAGTGGAGTCATTTAGTGGTCATTCTGGATTCAGAGCAGAAGGGAAGCTCTGTGCTTCCCAATGGGACTGCTTCTGGCATGGAGTGATCATAAGTTATATCAGAGTCAAACCGGGGGCCTGTTAGGTGTATTTGGCTCACATGGTTTAAAAAAATGTTTTATAATAGTTAAACAAACTTTTCACATTTTAAAAAAGCAACTAGAATTTCCAGCTTCTCTAAAAAATGTAGATCATGTTGGAACCCTGGGCCCACATTCTCACAAACCACTTAACAATTATCTGGAACTGAGGATCAGGCTGTGCTCTTTATTTCTTGCAATTTCCACCTGCCCCACTTCACTCTTACTCTGCCTGCCTGGCTCCTGGCAGCATCAGAGTTTGTGGCCATTTCTTTTAGCTAGGCCAACACTTAAATTGCCCTAGTTCCACAGGCAGAAAGGCATAAAACAAAACAACTTTGTCTTTTATTCTCCCTTAATCCTCCCAGCATTTCAGTGAAGGAAGCAGCGTTATGGAATTGCCCATGTGAATGAATGAAATTCTATGTCTTCAGTGCTTTACTTAGAGAACTAGAGAACGACCTAACAGGTTGCTTTCCATGCCATGGAAATGAATCAGTTTTACATTGGTACCAGCTGACTCCTATTAAGTAGGAAAGTCTCTCTAGTTGACAGCATTCCTGGCTTCATTCCACTGGTAGGCAGAAGCTTTGTTTGTTAAACCTGTGTGCTGGGGTGGGGTCTCACTAGTATCTGTTGCACTACAGGCGGCTCGAAACTGTTTGGTAAATGATCAAGGAGTTGTAAAAGTATCTGATTTTGGCCTGTCTAGGTGAGTATGCCTTTTTCCATTTTACCCTTTCTAAGTATAAATATCACAGTACAAACATGGGGAGGTACTATAGGTTTAAATCTCCTTTCCTTTTTCTCTCCCCATGCTAGTGTTTCCTATCATCTTACTATTCATTTTCTTCCTCTGAATTAAATCAGGTCAGGGATTTAGCTCAGTGGTTCTGCCACCTGCCTCGCAAGCACAAGGTCCTGAGTTCTATCCCTGGTACCAAAAAAAAAATTCAAAGATGAATTATCTAGATCACTTCTTTCATTCTTTAATTGTTATATCCCTCTCCTTTCTCTCTTTATCTCTGCTCCCTTTTTAAAAAAGCTATTTCCTCAGTATCTTATCTTGATCTGTTAATCCAGTTGACTTTCTGCCATCCTTACTGTTTCTTTAAACAGTCTTATTAATCTTATCCCCCCTGGTAATTGCAGAAAAGAAGGAAGGGAAGGAGAAGAACAAAGAAAGAAAAAGTGGGATAGAGAAGAAAGGAGTGCCTATTAGCAATATCAGGCTGTCTAAATCCCAATGGAAACATGTTTTGAATCCCCTGTAGATATGTCTTGGATGATGAATACACCAGCTCAGTAGGCTCCAAGTTTCCAGTCCGGTGGTCTCCACCAGAGGTCCTTATGTATAGCAAGTTCAGCAGCAAATCTGATATTTGGGCTTTTGGTAAGTGGATAAGATTATACAAGTTATACCACTCACACGAAAAGGAATGGTAAAATTCACACTTTGCAACCTGCACAGAGAAATTGTTCTTGTTGGCATTCATCTGTTCCCTAGGGAGTACTACATGTCAGGAACCTCACAATTTTCTGAGAATAAAACCAGTAAACTGGACAAGATCTCTGCCTTCTTAGCTTGCAATATATTGAGGGAAATAATTCAGTATTCAACAGCTTCTGAATACTGATCATGTCCAGTGGTGGCAAGCCTATGGTGCACGTGCTGCAGTGGGCTGTTATCACTGAAAGCTCTAAAAGGTTCACCATCACTGGGACATTCTGCCAGGTCTTCTAACTACAAAGACAAATAAGATGCTGTCTCTCTTCTAGAATAGCTAATGGTCTAGAACATCAGTCTGACAGCTATCCAGTGTAGTTGGTACTGTAGCAGAAGTCTGGACAACATTCAAAAGAACAGAGGGGATAACCTACAGATTGTAATCTTTGAGGTTAATCTAGGAAAACTATTAACTCTGCTATCCCAAAAGACTGCAAACTGAAGTAAATTTTTTTTTCACTGCTAGGGGTTTTAATGTGGGAAATTTACTCCCTGGGGAAGATGCCATATGAGAGATTTACTAATAGTGAGACTGCTGAACACATTGCCCAAGGCCTGCGTCTCTATCGGCCTCATCTGGCTTCAGAGAGAGTATATACCATCATGTACAGCTGCTGGCATGAGGTAAGTGTTTCAGTGTGACATCTTAATTTCCTTGAACCTATTTTATCACTTAGCTGGCCACTGCCCACTCTCCATGGCCACATGACAGCTGGGCACAGACTGACAGCTGCACATATTCTCTGACCCAAGCCTGCCCCCAAATCCTCTGATGGCCACAGGCTTTCCCAGACCCACCCCAATTCTCACTACAGTTGTTATTAGCAGACACCAATACAACTCAGCTTTAGGGAGAGAGGGTGTTATGGGGCTGTCATCATGTAGAAGCAGCCAGCTAAAGGCACTCAGATACGTGTATGGACATTCAAAAAAGGAAAATCATTAACGTTTACACAATATTAAAAAGCAACCACCCCCAAAAAAACCCCTACCTATTTAAGGTCCCTTCCAAGCCTTACAGTTTAAAAAATAATAATGAATGCTTTTCTGCTTTCACCTCAGGCTGTTTCTAAGGTCCTTTCTCCACTTTTCAGTAAATATTTGGCAACCTTAATTTGGCAACCCAACCGTTCAGTAGGAACTAAATTTGTGCTGTTTTTTGTTTTGTTTTTTCTTTTTTTGGGGTACTGGGGATCGAACTTGGGTCCTTGTGCTTGCACAGCAGGTGATGAAACCACTGAGCTAAATCCCCAGCCCATTTTGTGCTTTGTTGTTTTTTTTTTTTTTTGGTACCGGGGGTTGAACTCGGGACCTTGCACTTGCAAGGCAGGCGCCGGAACCACTGAGCTAAATCCCCGGCCCAGTAGGAACTAAATGCTCAGCTCTTAGTTCTGCCCCACCAGAAACAGGAAAGATAGTGTCCAACAAGCACCTGTGTGATTCTGCAGCCCTCTTGGTGAGACAAAAGTGGATATTTGAATCAGCTTATGGCTCCTTTCCCTTGAACAAATGACACAGGTCACAAAGAAAGTGTGGAGGAAGGGAAAATCCTTTGGAGTAATTTTCCTTCTTTTTGCTGTGTGATGCAGGATTAGGGGTGATTGACTATGCTCGCTCTTTTCTAACCAGGAGATCCTCACTCTGCTGGTTAAAAGCTACTGTATTTCAGATGGCACTTTCTCCCCAGTCTATTTACAGTAGTGGTCACAAAAGGAGATCCACATCAGAATCCCTGAGAAAATCTCAAAAATACAGATTATTGGTCCTCTTCCCCAGAAATTTTTGATCAGATTTGTCTGAAATGTAATCCAGAAATCTTTTTAAACTTCCCAGAAAATTCTGATATGGTACTGTTACTTTTGAGAGCCACTGATTCAAAGGACAGCGAAACTGATGACCTTTTGGTTTTGATAGACTGAGACCATTCTGGCATGAATGTTCCTGAATCATTAAATACCCTAGGAATTTATGGTCTATAACTGTCAAAAAAACAACCTTAGGGCCGGGGATCTAGCTCAGTGGTTCCGCCGCCTGCCTCGCAAAGTGGAAGGACCCGGAGTTCAATCCTGGTACCAAAAAAAAAAGAAAGTTAAAAAAAAAAAAAAACAACCTTAGTTGGGAAGCCACACTAACAAAAGGTCCCAGGTGCTCAGGGCTCCTGCCCAGACACAGTCTGTGGTTTGGAAATATTAAGTCCTTCGTTCACTGTGATTTTGGAATGACTGAAACAGTGTTTGAAAGCAAGCTTAAATATTATCATAACTTGTAGAATTTGTTCTGTCAGCTACTTAAACATGTTTGGTAGCCATTTTTCTCCTGAAGCTCCAAAATAATAATGCATTTATTATTATATAATAAAGCTGCCCTTCATTTAAATTAATGTTTGTCAGTTTAATTTGCAAAATGTCCTTATTAACACTAATAACCTGAGTTACAAAAGATTAAAAGTGCACAGAGATTTACTTTATGAAGAGCTATTTAATTTTGGTGGTTCTGATGGTCAAACCCAGGTCCTTGTGCATGCTAGGCAAGCACTCCACCACTGAGCTATATTCTCAGCTCAAGAACTGCAATCCCTCCCCTCTCTTTTTTTTTTTTTGGTAATCAACAAGGTATGCTGTTGGGCATATGGTGTATACTTAATAAACATTTGTTGCTTACTATTGTGTTTCTCTTGGAATCTAGCTACTGTAACACTCCACTTTTCTTTGGTTTCAGAAAGCAGATGAACGTCCTACTTTCAAAATTCTCCTGAGCAACATTCTAGATGTCATGGATGAAGAATCCTGAGCTGGCCCATGACCTTCTTAGTTTTCTACTCCTCACCTCTACAAGCCCCAATTTCACTTTCTCTGAAGAAATCCCAGGCTTACAGGTTTTGGAGTCTTTCTGCTTCCCCTGAATACATGAAAGCCCCTCAGGAATGTCTCTTTTCTTTGATTCTCTGGGATAGTGTTTCTGAGCAAAAGCAAAGGAATTTCTGGGCCTGGTATTTCCCCTCCCTCCCCCAAGACAGGAAATTTCCCAAAGCTATTAAGACAGACTGAATTTGGAAGAGAATCCTTTCTAGGGAGGGAGGGGTGTAAATAACCTCATAAGGGATCCTACTGCTTTTTTGGCAGGCATTAGAGCTTGGGCGGTGGGACAGGATTTGTTAAGAATAAAACTGTCACTGGGCATAGTGATGCATGGCTGTAATCCCAGCACTCGGAAGCCTCAGGCAGGAGGATCATGGTGAGTTCGAGGCCAGCCTGGACTACATAGTAAGTTCAAGACCAGCCTGAACTAAATAGCAAGATTCTGTCTCAAAACACAAAACACAAAAGAATAAAACTGTCATTAAAATAAAAGGGGACTATTTTGATAAAATAAAATCCAGAAAAGAGTAAAAAGTCTCATATCTCAATCATGCAGTCTACCTGAAGCGCCCTACCTGAAGTTGCAGAAAACTTGTGTGGCACTGGTTTGGCATACTCCTACTCCGAGAATGCAACAGGATCTTCGACATTTAACCCCTGTGGCTCTAGTTGAATACTGCCTCTGAATCCAAGATGAATTCACAAGGCAAAGCACAGCGATTGGTACACAGTAGTGAAGTATTATTTGAATGAATTTAAAGTTGGGGACAAATTCTGCCAGAGCCTCATTTCCCTGTCAAGAGAGGAAAACACCGAAGATGGAGTCAAGGGCCTAGAAAGGCCAATTACCAGGCTGAGCGATCCCGGGCGAGCAGAACCCCCTAGCTGGGAAAGCGCGGGCCTATTTGGAAGCAGTCAGGGGCGGAGCTGTTGGGCCCGCCGGCAATGGGCCACGTGGTCTGAAGTAACTTCCTTTCCCACTCTTTGTTCTTTTATTTTCGGATTAACGCCCTGACAGCGCCTGCCTCAGCCGTGGAGGTGTAGGCTAGATGCTGCTACGGGGTTGGAGCCAGGAGAGTCCGGACGGTTGGGAGCGAGCCTCAACAGCCACGGTGCGCGAACCGGCCCCGGGACAGGAGGCTACCGGCGGGCTCCGCGCCGGCCTCGCGCCGACGCAGTGCACTCACGCCGCCCCCCCCCCCCCGAGCCAGGGGATTGTGGTTCCGGTTCCGTCGCCGAGACACGTGAAGGTCGGCGAATTGGTGCGGAGTCCGTTTTGGCAAGCGTGGTTGAACTGGGATGGATTCCTCTTCCTCGTCTTCCGCAGCGGGTTTGGGCACAGTGGACCCACAGTTGCAACATTTCATCGAGGTGGAGACTCAGAAGCAGCGCTTTCAGCAGCTGGTGCACCAGATGACTGAACTTTGTTGGGTGAGGATCCTAGGGCTGGGTTCTGGACACTACCCACTTTCCTTCTGTCCATGCCCCGAGGGACTTGCCACTACGTCGGGGATTTGGGAAGAAGGTGAACTCAGCAGCACTCCCCGGTTTTCTCAGGTTCCTTAGGCCAAGCCAAAGGGTGACTCCACTTCTCAGTGGCTGTCACTCTGAACCTCTGCTTTGTTGGACCAGAGGACTAGGGATGTCAGAGTTAAGCGGATATCCCACCCAGCACTTTCAGGCATCTGAGGTTGAAGCTGTTTAGTGCTGGGCAAGACTGATCAGATACCCCAGTACTGGGATTTATTTTGGGGACCCTGAATCCCAGAGAGTCCGTGAATCTGCTGGTCCTGGACTCGTTGGGATTTACTTAGATTATACAGTTGTTCTAACCTTTCCTGTGAAAAATGAGAGATTCTAGCCCACTAAGTATAAAAGTGGCATAATCACTTCCAATATACACGTTTATTTGCCCGCTTGTTGGGTTGTTGTGTAATACCGAACCGTTTAGGGTCTGAAGGTTGAGGAATTCATTCCATCCTGTCAAGGGACTTTGGCAAAGGGTAGAAGGCAATTGGAGCTTGAGATCAAAGTGTTCTTGTTGCCAAGGATAGCACACTGCCCTTCCTTGAGTACAAATTAACAATTTAGAGGCCAAGGGTAATATGTCTTGGAATTGGAATGTCTGAAGCTTGTACATACAACAGAATTATAAATGAAATTTATTTTAACCACTTTGAACCATTACAGTCATCGGTTTCCACTGTCCTTTCCCATCAACTTAGAGTATGGTTGGACTATGACCCTTACCAAGTGCTTTAATTTGGTCTGCCTTGAACCAGAGTGCTTTGAATTTTTTATTTTTTTATTTTTGAGTCAAGGTCTCACTATGTTGTTCAGGCTGGCCTTGAACTCACTATGTAGCCCAGGCTGGCCTCGAATTTGCAGCCTCCCCAGTGCTGGGATTACAAGCATCTGCCACCAGGCCCAGTGGTTAGAGTGCTTTGATTCTTCTTCTTTTTTAATCTTTGATGCATTACATTTGGGGCAGGAGGGTTGTGCTTAAAGACTACTTTAAGAATTTGTAAGCTATGCACTTTTTAGGAAATTTCATATACTTTTTCATTCCTTGTGAGAGGATTCAAGAATCTCAGGCTTAAGTAGATAAGATTACAAGATCTCAGTTCTTCAGGGTATCTTCCTGTAATGATTTATTCTTTAATTCTTTTGTTCTGCAATTAATTTAACGTCATTTAATCCAAGCAGCATTGTGGAGTTTCATCTAAGTTCAGCAAAATGTTACTTTATTTGATTTTTCTTGCTCTGTGTCTATCTCAGATCCACCATTTTCTGGCCCTATGACTTAGGGCAAAAGATCTCTGTGCTGCAGTTTCTCTCTTAGTAAGATGAGGATTAATAATAGCATCTATTCCATAGGGTTATTGTGAGAGTTTAAGCTTATAGAAAGTTGCTTCAATTAGGGTAAGCTACCAAATGTGAAATATTATTAACATACCAGATACTGTTTTTAGGTGATATTTCTTCTAAGAAACAATAAGTCATCTGTCCTGTCCAGTCATTGTCCCTCCTCACCCCAGTTCCCTTTTCAATTTTGTATCTTGTCCTGAGCAGGAAAAGTGCATGGACAAACCTGGGCCAAAGTTGGACAGTCGGGCTGAGGCCTGTTTCGTGAACTGCGTTGAGCGCTTCATCGATACAAGCCAGTTCATCTTGAATCGACTGGAACAGACCCAGAAATCCAAGCCAGTCTTCTCAGAAAGCCTTTCTGACTGATCTCAGCAATTACCTCTTTGGAAAAGGAAGGTAGTTCAAGAAATGAAGAGCTATTGATGGGATGGTTGAAGAAATGGCTATGGGTGTACTGACTCCCACCTTTTGTCACTTTGTGGACACCTTATCATCTGAAAATGAAAAAGACCAAATTTTTATGTGGGGTTTCAGGTTATATGTGTGTTTGGTTGTATTTTAATGCCAATCTTGTGAAAATGATTGATAGATGAATGGGAAATTATTAGATGTATATTACTGTATATGGGGCTATGCTTTTCTCAAGGTCCCCATAACTGCTTCCTGTAATTTTGGTAGTGGGACTGCTTTCTATTTTTTGATAGTGGCACCACACATGGATAAAATCTATTTGTATGAATTCATTTCAGATTTTTGGGGAGATCTTTGTGTCTGTCAAATAGGACAGCAGTAAGATAAGAAAAAATTGGCAGTAAATGGGGCATCTTATCTGGTGATTGACTGACAGTATTGAAAAAAAAATCTACGGAGTATTTGTACAGTGCATTTCAGTATTCTAGGTTATCTCCCTCCCCTATACCATAATTTTCATAATTTATCATATTAAAGTATGGGTTCAAGGTAGACCAGGCAACCCAAGAATCTAGAGGCCTTTAGTTATAAAAGTAGTCTAGCAAGTAGACATAATTCTCATTACTAGTTGGCCACAGGAAGAAGTTAACCTATCCTATATATCAGAGTACAAAAACTTCAAAGATGTGCGTAAAGAAATTACACAGATTTAGGCCAGTCAAAAGCTAACAGCAATTTTATGTACAGGTGTATGCCTGATTCCAATCATTATAGATTCAATGGGCTGCATTCTTTTGATCACTGAAATTAAAAATTATACAAGATTCAAATCTGATTGAGAGGCTTTCTATGTAGTTTGAGCTGGCCTTGAACTCACTGCATAGCTCAGGCTGGTCTTGAACTCACAGGGATCCTCCTGCCTTAGCTTCCTGAGTGCTAAGATTACAGATATGCACCACCATGCCTGGTTCCATTCTGGTTTTTATCTGCACCTTATAGAGATTTAATATAGGCTCATTCCAATACTGAGATTTAGTTTGTCTCTATTCTAGTGGTTCCTGACCTTCTTGAAAGGGGAATCTTGAGATAAGATAGGGGAGAAAGAAATTCTGTGTGAACAGTTAAATCCCTGAGTACAGTAGAACAACTTGCATTGACTGTATTCCCTTCCTCTTCAAATTCTACTAGACTGGAATATAGAACTAAAGTACTTAACTACTTGTTGGGGAGCCTCTAGTACAAATCCACGAGAATCATGCAAATACACATTTTTAGGATACTTTTTTTTTTTTTTTTTGGTACCGGGGATTGAACTCGGGTTCTTGCGCTTGCAAGGCAGGCGGTGGAACCACTGAGCTAAATCCCCAGCCCATTTTTAGGATCCTTAAGTCACTGTTTTACCTTTTTCCCATATAGGCAATACAAGAAAATTTTTACAAATCATGATGAAAACACAATTCAACCAACATTTAAGTGGTAACTCCACGCCACTGTTTCTAGTGACAGGGACTGAGCAGTATATAAAAATAGCTGTAGACCTTGAAGAGCTTATGTTGGAGCTAGGAGAGATAGGTAATACATGCATAAATATGTCAATATAGTAAGTGCCACGGGCAAAAAGAGTAAGTGTGTTATTTTATAGAAGATTATTAGAGAAGACTTCCTTGGGAAGGTGGCATTTTAGCAGAGACTTGAAAGAACTAAGTGACCAAGCCTTGTGGCACTACAGAAGAATGTTCTAGACAAAGGTAATAGCAAGTCCAAAGGCCCCCCAAGGTAGGAGCTGTTACCGTATGAGGTCATTTAAAAGAACAGTCTCAAAAGGTTAGTAGAACTGGAGTGCAGGGTGTGAAGAGAAAGGTAAAAAGGTTGGAGAAAAATGCATGACATGGATTGGTGCTGAATAGTGGTGTGCACTGATCATGTAGGGCCTTGCGGGCCATTGTAAGGACATCTGGCTTGTACAAAACAAGATGGGGAGCCATTTGAGGGATTTCAGCAGATGAGTTGTGTAATACACTTTAAGTTTTAGGAGAGTCTGGCTGCTGTTTATAGAACATGCACATGGCGAAGTAGTAGTAGTAAGAATGATGGAATTTTGAAGACTAGGAGAAATCAGGCATTTAGGGTAAGTATCTGGTACAAACTTTGTATCTATATCCTCTTGCTGATATTTTTCCCTGAAAAATTTATTTAATGTGTTTATGTAAAACTCCAAGTTGTAAAACAAAAGGCTTGGGTTAGCAGACCCTTTTCCTGAAATGAAATCTTAACTTAGAAGCCTAATATATAGAATAGAAACACCAAGCTGTTCTGGTGGGGGTGTGTATCTGTCTAGAAACCTGCCTGCTGTTCTCCTTATCTCCTGGTGCCCATAGTGGTGCTGGACACTGCCATCAAACCTGTAGGGATTTACCAAGCATGCTATGAAACTGGAACCAATCTAAAGTTCTTGCCCATGAATCCAAACAAATCTCTATAGACAGTTGGAATTCTAAAATGTAATTCAGTAAACACTGTGTAAAAATAGCATTTACATGAAACAGAGGAAAGCAACTGACTCCTTTAAAAAAATTTTTCTCTATATTATTACTATAATTAAAATTTTTTTAGCCTAGGGTGATTTGATTTCAAAGGTTATATAACAGCACAGCACTTCATATACTTCAGTACCCCTCCCACATCGGTGGTGTTAGGGATTGGACCCAGGGCCTCATACATGCTAGGCAAGTACTCTGCTAACTACATCCCCAGCTCAGCCTTATTTTTGTTGGCACCTTCTAGACTCAAGGTTGATAGAGAAAGGTCTAGTATCTGCATCTTCATTCTATGTAGGAGTAAAAGTATTTAGATTCACTGATGTCAAGTATTACGCTTTTTGTACGATTTGAGTGTATCTCCCAAGGGTTCATTTAGAATAGACATATTAGAACTCATGGCATTTGAGTTCAAAATAGGTTATTTATACCAAAACCAGAATTTATTAAATTTTACGTTCATGGCTTTAATGGAAGCAAACTTATCAAAAATATTTTCATTAAAATCAGAAGCTTAGGGCTGGGGAATTAGCTCAGTGGTTCCACCACCTGCTGCGCAAGTGCAAGGACCCGAGTTCGATCCCCAGTACCAAAAAAAAAAAAATCAGAAGTTTAGGTCTAATTTGCCTGGATGAAGAAGCTCGGCTGGCTGAAGAATGTGTAGAACTTGAGGGAAGTTCTAGTAATCTTGTGCAATTTAAAAGCAAGTAAACATTGAAGAGTCTCTAGAGATGAGAATCACTAGGTAGAAAGGCCGGGGATTTAGCTCAGTGGTTTCACCGCCTGCTGCGCAAGTGCAAGGACCCAAGTTCGATCCCCGGTACCAAAAAAAAAAAGTGTGAGGAGAATCACTAGGTAGATAGGGGCTGTATAGTCATTTCATGCCAAGGAGTGTGAGTGTGTGTGTGTGTGTGTGTGTGTGTGTGTGTATGTGTATGTGTGTGTGTGTTGCTGGAGATGGAACCCAAGGCCTAACAGACACATGCTAAGCAAGCACTCTAAATGAGCTACATCCCCAGCCTTGGATTTTATTTTGAATGTGATATGAAACCTCTTAATATATTTTAAGCATGTGTTTTAGGAAGATTATAATCACATGAACACTAAAAGAGGATAAGACTGGAATTCAAGACCTGGTACATTTTAAGATAGAAATGTAATTCCAAGGCAAGCATGGTGGCATACCCTTGTAATTCCAGGACTCAGGAGGCTGAGGCAGGAGGATAGCTGTGAGTTTGTGGCCAGCGTGGGCTACATAGTGAGTTCAAGCCCAGCCTGAGCTATGATTCAAAGATAGATAGGCTAGGTTTTGATGATTAAATATGAGGAGTAAGAGGAAACAAATTAGGCAGATGAATCACTCAAGTTTCACCATATACAGCCTGTTCTTTATATCATATTACATGTTTATTCCTAAAATATGTGAAAAATATTAACAGCCACACTTGGTATCCATTATCAATAAAGACATTATCAATGAAATACATAATTTCAGGAAGAAATGACTAAGAGGAACAAAGAGGGATATTTAATATTAAGTCATATTTCTTAGAAAATATAACAATTTTTATCTAACATAGCATCAAAATATGCCATGCAAAGTATGATAAAAGTCATCCCCTGGTATCTGTGGGGGATTGGTTCCAGGACCTTTGTAGATACCAAAACTTGAGGATGATCATGTCCCATATATGAAATGGTATTCCTCTAAATCATCTCTAGATTACCTATAATATTTAATACAATGTAAATGTTATATAAATAATTGTATTGTGTAGGGAATAATAAAAAAGTCAATATGGGTTTATTACAAATTTGTTTTCAAATATTTTTGATTGGTAGTTGGTTGAATTCACATGTGGAATCCACAAGTACGGAGAACCAACTGTACTCTCTCTAAGAAACATGCTAAGAAGCTTTTGTCTGTATCAGAGTTACCAAAAAGTTGAGAACCATTAATCTGATCAATTTTGTTGTAGTCATTCATAATATATGTTTATATGTGAGATGAATCCTCTATTTCAAGAAAGTCTTTTTCAAGAAACTGGCAAGCAATCTGTTATTATGGCAACTGTGCCAAGATTCATATTTTTAAAAAGTAAGGTATCAAATCTCAGGTTACAGTTTTTCTTTTAGGCAAGCAAAAAATTCTATAAACATGAAATATTGCAGAAAAAAATCCGTTTACATTCTTTGATGAGAGAAAGGGGATGGCTTTCTAAGTAAAGAATTAACAACTAAATCAATGCTGCCTGTCATTCCATTTTCCTTCTTAAATAACCAAAAGCCCTTTAAAAATGTGCAGCTCAGGGCTGAGGATTTAGCTCAGTGATTCTGCTGCTTGCCTCGCAAGTGCGAGGTCCCAAGTTCGATCCCCCGTACCAAAAAAAAAAATGTACAGCTCAGCTTAAAAGGAAAAAAAGGAGCTAGGCATTGTGGTACATGCCTATAACCCCAGTACTCTGGGAGGCTGAGGCAGGAGGATCACAGGTTTGAGCCCAGCCTGGGTAACTTAGTGACTTAGCAAGACACTGTCTCAGAATAAAAACTATAAATGGGCTGGGAATGTAGCTCAGTGCAAAGGCTCTGGGTTCAATCCCAAGTACTACCAAATAAATAAGTAAAAACTTTAAAAAGGATATCACATGGGGTCAAAACACAAGTAGAAATCCGAGAACAAAATCATTTGTTTGTTGGGAGTTAAAATTTCAAGTGCTCTACTAGTAGGGCGGGGACAGCTTGGTTACCTCACTACGAAGGGTACTCAGGGTCTGTTCCTTCTGTCTTTCCTTTCTTCCTTCAGTACTAGGGATTGAACCCAAGGTCTTTGCCTGAGCTATACTGCTGGCCCATTTTTAATTTTTGAGATCGGGTCTTCTAAGTTGCCTGGCTTGGGCTCGAACTTGCAATCCTCTTGCCTCAGTTTCCCAAAGTGATGGGATTATAGGAGTGCATCACCACACCTGACAGGTGCTCAGGTTTTGATGGCCTTGTGGAGGGAAAAGACAGTGGCTTAGTCCTAATTAAGGCAGACAGTTGGATCCAAGACACTTGTAGAAGACACTTTTACTTCAGTAAAAGTGAACTAAACAAAAATTCATTTATGGGCCAGGGATTTAGCTCAGTGGCACTGTGCCTGCATTGCAAGCACAAGGTCCTGAGTTCTATCCCAGACACCATAAAAAAATTCATTTATAGTAGACCCTTGACTTACGAACTCAATTCATTCGGAGGGCTGGTTGTAATTCAGGTTGGTCAACTGAAGGCTCAGGCTCCTCTACACAGCCTTAAAAGTCTCTCCTGTATACAGGCAGATCTCAGTGTCCTTAGACATTGACCCGGGATTTCTCAAACCAAAATAGGAGAGGATCTTGTAATGTTCCTTCGAGAAATCTTTAAGGGTTAAATCTGTATCTGAGAACATCTGGAAGCACAAGTGGCTGGCATTCAGGTCACAACTCAAGACTTTGTTCGTAAGCCGAAACAAATTCCAGTCGTAACCCAAGTCGTTCACGTGCCAGGCTGGTCGTAACTCGAGGGCCCACTGTACTAGCACAGAGACAGTTTGGAATCTAAGGAAGAGAAAAGGCCTTCCCATGAGGATTTGTAACCTCCAAGCTGATTTCTCATAATATTCAAATGTATACCTCCTGCAGGGTCCAGGAACCACCCCCCTCAGCTGTATCAGTTGAACTACCAGTAGAAGCAGTATTAAGCAGGTCTAGAGGGACACGCCCTTCATGGGTCCCTACAGAAAGTCACACTGAACACAAAATAAAAAAATTACAAAATACATGTGGAGCTGGGGACTTAATTCAGTGGCTCTGTGCCTGCCTTGCAAGCACAAGGTCCTGAGTTGGATCCCCATTACCGGAAAAAACAAAACAAAACAAAAACATGAGGAAACACCTATCATGGACAAATACAAAACAGCAGGATTAGACTCCAAGATTGTCAGATAATAACATCACCTAATACACACTATAAAACAACTGTTTAAAATGACATAACTGACAACATAAGGCACTAGTTTTTAGAAGATCAGGTAGTTTTGAAAAAGAACTCTAGAAATGAAAAAAATGTTTTAAAATAACTCACCAGGCGTGGTAGCTCACGCCTGTAATCCCAGCACTTGGAAGGCTGAGGCAGGAGGATGGCTATAAATTCGAGGTCAGCCTGGGCTACATAGTGAGTGCAAGACCAGTCTGAACTACATAGTGAGACTGTGTCTCAAAACACAATGACAGAAAACTGAATGGAAATATTAAGCCATGTATTGGGCACAGCTAATGAGAAAAGAAGTAAACTGGAGTAGAGATCTACAGAATATAGCACAGAGAGATAAAGAAATAAAAAATATGAAAAAGAGGTAGAGATAGGACAAATAAAAAAAAAGTCATTCAAACAAAGTAATGGCTGAGAATAATGGTGATTTTAAAATGCAGATCTTTAGATTCAAGAAGTATGAGTCCTGAGCAGGATAAATACAACTCAATACAACTAAATTCATATTTGGATAATTTGGTGAATCTTTAGACCATCAAAACAAATGATCATGGGGGCCGGGATTTAGCTCAGTGGTGCCACCGGCTGCCTTGAAAGCACAAGGTCCTGAATTCCTTCCCCGGTACCAAAAAACAACAACAAAAAAAACCCCACAAATGATCATGATATAATACTTAAACATTTCCTGTGTGCTAGTTCTGTTAAAACATTGCTGAAAAATAATAATTTTAATATATTGGCATTTCTCTTCAGTCTTATCCATTTGTGTTTATGGACAGTACAAAAAATTTCAAAGCAAATTCAGAGTAACACCATAAATGTAATTTTCTGCTGTTTTTTACTCAACATGTTACCATAAGCATTTTCCCATGTTATTAAGCAACAGCAGCAGCAGCATAAATAACAGCAAACATTTTAGTGTTTTGGTTATGAACCTGGATTTTGAAATTAGTCTTTTTGGGTTTGAGTCCTAGCTCACCTCTTAATAGCTGTGTGGCACTGAGCGAGTGACTTGTACTCTCTCTGATTCCATTTGGTGAGTAGTAAAAACCTACATTCTAGAGTTGTTTTAAGTTACTTTTTAACTAAGCTATCTCCCAGGCCATGTGCTAAACACACAAATCTCATTTAATTCTCATAAAACCTCAGTGGGCTAGAAAATGTTCTTGTCCTTATTTTACAGATGAGAAAAGTGGGGCTTAGGTGATTAGATGATCTGCCCAAAATCACATAATCAGTGATGTTCCTTTGACTTGAATTCAGATTTTTCTCCAAAACCTTTGATCTTGATTATTATGCTATACTATTCTTGTTTCATTTTAATGGCTTATAGTATGTATAAACCATAAACTTCAGCATAATATTCCTCAAATGTTGCATGTTCAGATCTTTTCCATTTATTTCCTATGACAAATAACTTAGTGAAGCACATCTTTGACCATAAAACATTGTGTGCACTTCAGATAAAGTCTTTTTGGTAATTATTCTGAATTGGGCTAAGTCAAAAAGTATGACATTTTAAGGTTCTTAATATATGTTGACAAACTGCTTTCCAGAAAGGTTGAAACCACTTGTGTACCCACTGCCAGTGTATGAGTAGGGCTGACATTTTGTTCAAAGGTTGACCATCTATTTATATCTCTTAATCGTCTTTAAGAGAAGTTCTTAGTTTTCTAATTTGTATGTTATACAGTCATACTATATATTACATCATATGCTGTATTATACATAACAATACATATGTTATATATGCATATGTATTATATACAGTATAATATATAATGTTAATGTTTTTGTATATATGGTATGGCTACTAACAAGTT